TTTAACATATGTTTAACATATATTTATCATATTATAACATTGATAATATTGTAATTACATTGTAGCAATATTGTAGCTATCTTGTAAACATATTTAGCTAAAATCGAAGGTTTCAGCAAAGAAGGACCTGATGTTTTTGGCTTGCAAGTCCGAAATGTGTGACAGGTTATGCATGTTGACGATCACACATCTGAAATACGCAAAATTCTTTAAAGTTCATTAATGTTTAGATTAATGTTTGTATTAAGGTTAGTTTTAGCAAAATATATAGTAAATCATTCAAAAAAAACTTTTTATTAATGCATGAAAGATTGTTTCTTATACAAAATTTTGAGTAATATTTGATTTTTGGCAAAACAAACACTTGTGTAATATTACACCTGATCTTGAAGGGTATCTGGCAATAACCTGTCACACATTTCGGACGTGCTATCAAAAGTAGCAGTTTTAGATATCTAAAGTAGAAGGCCTATATATTTAAAGTAGCAGTTTTAGTAGCTACTTTAGATATCATATCTTGCTGTAAATAAGCACCCACCTTTTGCAATTTTAATATCCAAGTTTCTCATGATCTAGTAATCGGATCTGTATAATTTTGGTACTATTCGAATTAGCTTATCAAAATAATTCAAATGATACCAAAATTATACAGATACGATCACTAGATCATGAGGAACTTGGGTATGAAAATTGCAAAAGGTGGGTGCTTATTCATAGCAGGATATAATATATAAAGTACTTACTTTATATATTTAAAGCTGCTACTTTAGATATATAATATTGCTATTTTAGATATATAATGTTACTACTTTAGATATAATAAGTGCTACTCTAAATATATAAAGTAGCTACTTTAAATATTTAAAGTATATCTAAAGTAGCTACCTTATATATCTAAAGTAGCTACTATATATCTAAAATAGCAATTTTATATATCTAAAGTAGCTACTTTATATATCTTAAGTAGCTACTTTATATATCTAAAATAGCAATTTTATATATTTAAAATAGCTACTTATATATCTAAAATACTACTTTATATCTAAAATTGCAACTTTATATATCTAAAGTAGTAATTTTTTATATCTAAAGTAGCAACTTTATTTTTATTATTATTATTTTTTTTGTATTAAGGTAAGGCCTTGCTTATATCTTTATTGATTAATTTATATAATTAATTACATATTAGCTATATAAAAACTTAATTTGTATATTAACAAATAAATATAAATTATATGCAAGAATAAAAGCTCAGACTAAAAGCTTAAACTAAAGCTCAAACTAATTATCTGCGACCTAATCTATCCTAAATTTAGGTTAGCTTTGACCATTTTGGTAGGTTTAGGCTGTAGATAAAACACTAGACTTGTCTATTAGACATTTTTAGTTAGTCTGAGATCTTTTTCTTAGCACTAGAATTAAAATGCAAAACCTTTTCCAATTATGTAAAAAGCTTTCATTAAGTTTAATAATGATAAGAGCATGGTCTCACCTTTAACATTAAAAAAAAAAATTATTTAATAAAGATACGAGCAAGGCCTCACCTTAATATTTTAAAAAAAAACTCTACCTGTGACAGTTATACAAAATTTTGCATTCTGATTGGTAAATCATGGGTATATCGATATTTATGACCATACCGATCGATATTTTTGCAAAATCAAATCGATATTATTTACCATTCCTGACTAGGGTACCCTCAAAATTGCTCGTGACATCAGAAGCTCGTGACGTCCATATCAAAATTGAAGATCTGATTCCCAATATCCCTTTCTCTAGGTTAAAATCGACATTAAGTTACCGATCGGCGTGGTTATAGTGACGTAACGCGTGACCCAAAAGAAGTGATAATCAGAAATAGAAAAATTAGACAGTGTTAATACTGAATCTTCACAACACAACAAAGGCATAATACAAATATAAGCCAGAATAAGACTTACCTGAAACCCGGCAGTATCACCTTAAGGCCCCAAAAGCTCTAAAACTCGGACCAAGTCTTTCCATACCCCTAATCAAAGATCTTCCACTTTAGAGCTTCGGTCCTATTTTGTGGTTGATTAAGTTATTAGTTTGATTGTGTAGAGTTGTAGGATAGCTAGATAGTTAGTTTTAGTCTCTATCCCAGAAGACAGCACCTTCTCAACAGACAACTATGATATGCATAGTTAACATTATCCAGCCCAATACGTACTTTTCCTCTTGCATAGATATAAATCTGGGTATCCAGTTTGATCTCTATTTATTTATAAATTATCTAGCGCTAGTTGTCAGAATTTACTTCATGACATTTGCGTTAAAAATCTATATGTCGAAGTGAATTCAGAAAGACAATACACAATAAAAAACAAACGCATTTATAAATGACATCATGCACTTTAATGAGACAAAAAACCTGTACGTAAGGTAATACAAGATATAAATATGAAAGCAGAATTTGCTAAATTTTAAAAAAAATTTCAAATTTGTGAATTATTGATTGGCGATAAAATAAATTATATCATAAAATTAGCCTGTTCAAATATATTTTTGTCTGACGAAATAAATTAAAAAAAAATTTTAACATTTTATATTTTAGATAATTAAAAAAAATTGACTTCGAATGGTCACAAAAAAGGTTAGTACATTGTTTTTTGCTATTTTTGACTAAAGATTAAAACGGAAATTACTATCCATTACCGTAAATGGATACACAGGACTTGGCTCTAGTACATTCTACCCATTTTAAAGCTTCTAATAGACTACTGGTATTGTACATGGCTGAGAGTTTAAATCATAAGAGTAAAAATTTAAAATGCATACAAACTTTGCATTTATAAAATGTTTGAAAAAAAAACTATATTTCGATCAAGAAGAACTTGAGGTTTGTTTTGGGGTCTAGTACCTGGTGTATCTACTATTCAGGAGGCTCTTTTTCATCAGCTTTTACATGATTTTGTTGTGCTTTCTTTCTCTTGTAGAAATAAATTCCAATAAAAATTGAACCAATTAAACTTATTGGACCTATAACACCAAATATAATTTCAAGAATCCTATTTGTGGCCTAATTATCTGATGGTGTATCAGTCGTTGTTGTCGTTGGGGTTGGGGTTTCGTATTTTGATGATGTAGTTCTACCCATTGAAGAAATTTGACTGGAGTTTGCCATAATAGTAGATTGGGGTGGATTTGGAATCTAACTGGAGCTTATCATAATAGTAGGTTTGAGTGAAATTGGACTTGAGCTTGCCGAAACAACAGAGCTGAGACACTGTAAGGCCCCGCACTGGTCGCAACTGTCACGATAACAATAATCACAAGTATTGCCATTAGGGTTACATTCATAGATGTGTGTATTGTTGCAGCCTTAATAAATCCAAAGTTCGAAGGTGACAAAAAGTTCACGCACGCAAGTACGATTTAAAATTCATTATTTACAAATAATATACCAATCTCACCACCACAGTGTTGTCTTTCTGCCAAACCAGTAGGGCACTTGCAGGTTGTATTATAGTTACAGTCTGCTGCGACTATAGAAATAAAGGCCAATAACAAAATAATGTAATAAGGTCTTTTCATCATTTTTGGGATGTAGAACAGTTATTTATTACAAAAAAAAAGTGTAAGAAATGTGAATTTATAAAAACATGTAGGTTCATTGTTGGCAAAATATGAACATGGGGCACATATTGTCCATATATTTCTATTGGACATAAGGCGCTTAGTCGAATCAAACAAGTGGGCCACTACTCCGAAATATTCCGGATAGAATAAGCCAAAATTAGGGCAATTGTCCGGAATATCCCGAAAATTCAGCAAAGATATGGACATAAACACGGGTTTCCTTATGTCAAGAAAATCCCGGGCTGAAGATCACTGTAGATCCTTTCCAATCTAATTCCGAAGCCAAAACATTCAATTTCTTTAAACTTCTAGCGACAATTTCTCAGTAACCACTTGATCAAATTTGGTAAAATTTTTTATTTTGATTCTATATATTTGTAAAATTGAACAAAAAAAAAGTTCATTAAATTTGGTCAAGTAGGTGTCGAGAAACATTCGCTAGAAGTTTTGAAAAAGCTTGAAATATC